GATATATATTAGATAGATTATCTAAAGGATTTCTATATTCTGCAATAAATCCTGCTCTGGAATTCAAATCAGATTTGCCAAATAAAGCTTCTGGCTATATAATCTTAGGCGAGCTGACCATATTAATGCTTGCATTTTTGAAATGAAATATATTGAGCTATGCCTATTGTGGTAGGTCTAATAATTATTGCTCTAAAATATAAATAATCTTTCAAAATAGCACTGTCAAAGATTTCATTAAGGATTCCTGGTTGCCATAATTTTTCTTCTATATTGGGATAGGATATGAATATATGAAAACGATGGATATATCATTGCCTATTATCTATCTAATTTTAAAATATTAGAATCTCCTTCATCTATTTTTATTTTAGAGATATTCTATTCAATTATGATGATTCGCATAAAGGAATTATTTATATATATGGTAGGCTCGTATATCATAGAAGATATTACGTATCCCATTAGATCGATAGATAAAAAAAAATCCTTATAGATTTTCTATCTACGTATTGGAAGCAGGCAATCTCGCCTCATCTTATTTAAATACGGACGTATCATCGCCTATATACAAAAATCATAAAGGATCTATTAGATATCAGAGAAATCAGAGCAACTTGGGAGAAGCCATAATTCCCGTATCCCGACATATGATTCCCTATGATCTAAGAAAATTCATATGAATTTAGATACGCGTAGGAAAATAGTTATGATTATATAGTAGATTTAATATGTTCCATATATATGTCAATAAATAAATATTATGATCTGTCAAATATATTGTATACGGCAGAACGTGCTAAGTCAGAATATGAGACTATATCTTTTGCATAGATATCTTCCTGGACTTCATATAAAGATGATTGAGAATATAGAATGAATAATGCATATTCCCTAATCTAGATACGAATATATCAAAATTCCAGATATGGCTATTCTTCTAAATGATATCATTCAAATATTTGATTATTGATATAGGATCATCCGTAGCGCTCATATGAGATAGTATCAATAAATTATATCAGGATATGATATTGCATGATCATATCATATATATCTTAATATCTTTATATGATAAATAATAATCGGTATTTTCTTATTATTAATCATATAATATCATTTGAAAATACGCATTTGATTATAAAATATGGGACCCATAATGCGTTATATTCTCTTTCTAGTTGAATTCTAATTTTTCTTTGAATCTAAATTTATGAGTCTGTCTATATTTCTTTTTATCAAATTATATTGATTGAATTATGAAATTTAGTATATATATTTTTCTTTTCCATTCTGGTTCTATATCTTCTGAATTTTTCATTTATCTATATATTTATTTAGATTTCTGATAATAATTTTCTTATTCGAATATATTTATTCTATGAAATGATGCGGCCATCTTCCGTAATTAGGATTGCGCGCGGATCTTATTTGAATGAAATCCTGAAAATCCGAAGAATTTCGCGAATAAAAGAAATTATTTCTAAATTTGGACGAAAGAAAAAAATTGACGTGATTTTGATGATATTTGATCGGAAATTCTTGGATTTTAGATTTCGTCCGATCCTTGATTGCGGATAAAATCGTGGAATTCTTGAGAATTTATACGTTTCGTCTGACCGGATTCTCTTTGGAAATTGAAAATTTCATTCGTTTGCTGCTATATTCTTCTTGAAATGAAAAATATTCATTCTTGAGATTTGGATTATATCATTTCAAATCTAGTATCGTCCTCACGAATTTCCAAATCGTGAATTTTCGTATATTTATATATTCAATTCTTTATATAGAAAAAATAATTGAATGAATTTGGAAAAGCGGTCCGATTCCGTTTTTCCAAAAAAAAAATATTTTAGAAGATAAGCATGAAGCCGCCGTGTCTTCCGTAGAAATAATCTGTTAATCAAGTATGTATCTACTAGCCAACCGTGATTTATAAGCTAGCCGTGAATATAAAAATTTTCGAAAGATTTGCGTGGCGGTGGCGGCGGCGGCGGGGGCGGTGTTGGTGGCGGTGGCAGTGGCGGCGGTGGCGGTGGCGGCGGCGGCGGCGGTGGCGGTGGCGGTGGTGGTGGCGATAGCGGTGGCGGTGGTGGTGGCGGGCGGTGGCGGTGGCGGCGACGGTGCGGAGGCAGGAGTGGGGGCGTTGGTCGGGGAAGTGGTGGGGGCGGTATTGGCGTGGCGCCAGCGGTCGTGGCGGTGGCGGGGGCCGTAGTGGTGGCGGCGGCGATCGGTAGTGATTGGCGGTAATGATAGGTGGGGGTCGGGAGCGGCGAGAAGGCGGCGTGGCGGCCGGTCGCAATCACGGTAGGCGGCGGTGGGTGGCAGTGGCACAGGGAGGCCGTGGAGGGCCGGCGGGGAGGATAGGTCATATTCAGAGCAGATCAATAGATCCTCGATACGGTCTATCGTCTCAATTCGAAAATAGCAAATCATTTGAATTGTGCCGGCGCGTAGATGTCGGGGGCTGTGGCGGCGGTGGCGGTGCTTGTGTTTATCGGTAGCTGTGGCGCCAGAGGTGGCGAAAACGATAGCTGGCGATCGAGCGGTGGCGGTGGCTGGCGGTCGGTTGCGGTCGTGGTAGGTGATGGCGGCGCGAGGAAGTTGTGGAGCGGCGGCACGATATATTTAGAGAAGATCAGCAGAAATTCGATACGATTCAAGATCGCAATTATTATATCATTTATTTCGCGCCGGCACGTAGCATTCTTTGTTGCGCTTGCCGTGTCCGCCATAGAAATAGTTTGATACCTATCCGTATACGTGAGTATGCAAAATGGCGAAGTGGCGGGGCGCCGCCGCCGCAGCCTGGCGCAGCAGCGCGCCCTGGCGGCGGCGCAACGCAATTGCGGCGGCGGATGCGGTGGCGGTTGCGGCGGCAGATGCGGCAGCGGATGCGGCGGCGGTTGCGGCGGCCGTTGCGGCGGCCGTTGCGGCGGTTGCGATATGTTGCGGTTGCGGCTGAGTTGGGGCGGCGGTGGCGGCAGTGGCGATCGGTAGTAGGGACGATCGAGGTGCTGGGGAGCTCGTCGGTTGCGGTAGACGAGGTTGTGCGGCGAAATCGGAGAGCAACGGATTAATATATGGAGAGAAATAAGAATTTTGTTCTTTCAATCTTCCGAATCAAAATCGTAAATAAAATTTCATTTGAAGCCTGTCAGCAAGTAGCATTCTCTAATAGATTAACCGCATATTGTCGCGCATCCGCCGATAGAATCAGCGGATCCTCTCCAAAAATAGATATATCTAGATCTTGATGATTCTTATCTAATTATCGTACTCTTTTTTGAATCTATTTTATTTTTTAGGCCCGCAAAATATTCGAATAATATAAATTAATGATATAATTATTATCTTAATTTATTCAAAGATAATTTAAATAAAATCAAAAAAACGCTAAATGAAAATAATGAGAATGAAAATATTTTTATTTTTGAAGAAATTTTGTTTTAATAAAAAGATATTCAATTTCCCTCGGAAATTTTGAATTTATTTCTTTAAGACAATATTTATATAATATAAGGGATTAAGATTTTGAGAATATGAATCCTTCAATATCTCGACTCTACGATTATCAAATATAATTAAATTGATCTATTATAAATATGTATATAGATCTATATATATTCATATCTCCTTAATTCTATATCATGAAAAGAAGTATCTATAATCTAGGAGAATATATCTAATATTTCCCTGGATATTTCGTTGAAATCTAATAATTCGTATTCAAGAGAAAAATCATCTTCAAATTCGAAATCTCTCAAAAATTAATAGCTTGTAGATATGCCGTTAAATACGATACGTAGTAATATACGAATATGCAGCAAATCTCATAAAGAATCTTATATGCCGATGCATTCTAATTGAATATTAATTTCAATCTTAAATCGGCGTCCCAGCGCGATAATTCCTTAATCTTTCCTAAGCATATCCTTCTTCCGTTCCGATTTTATCATACCTATTCCTTCTATCGCGATCGGGGGCCCCCCCCCTCTGTTATCGACCCTTCTGCCTCCAATCCTATTACCGATCCCCTCCTTCCTCGCCAATGCGCACGAGACGCCGAATGCTCGTCTACAACGTCTTCAGAATATTATTATATATTTTCTGTATTAATATTCTTTAATATATTATCGTTAATTGCTTATTTTATTCAATTCAAGTCATAGATTTTCTTAAAATGAGATAATCATTTGTTCGGAGCCTAATTTTTCTATATAAATTATTTTAAAGACGAATATGCTTCATCATTTGAATATAAGAAAATAATAGTCTTTTGCATTTACTATGTCTGCTTCTAGTTGTAAATAAAATCAATCAATCACGAGAAATGACGAGATCGCTGCATTGACAGGCCAATATATGGAGAGACCAACCCTCCAATAACATCCCCGATTCAACTACTTGAAAATCAATAGGTTGCTAGACTGGCCGCCCTTCTTTTGCAAACCGTTTGCTGCTTTGAAAAATCAATTATCAAATGGATACGTTAAATTGACAGAGTGAGAGTTGGATAAATTCGATAAACGGTCAGACCGAGGAATTTATAGCTTGACAGACCGGCAAATCATCAAAGAGACAGAGATAGCTTATTTGACAGATAAAAATGGACAACGAGCAACCAGATAATCAAATAAATAGACAAAAACCAGGAAAGCAAACGCGACAAGTGGAAAACATGAAGAAGATAGGGAGCATCCGGATGGCCACGAGCCTCGCCCAAAACGAGACCTGGCTCACATCCTTCTTTAGAGGCACTCATGACCGTTCGATCCTAGCATATCAAAGCAAGTTACTCAAAAGATCCTTCCCAAGTTCGAGCAGGTCGTGCAAAGTAGCCAAAAGGTAACTATTTCCCCAGTCCAAAACTTCCGACCATTACAATCATCTTTCCTGCTGTAATAGTCGTAATCATTTTTCGGTTTGATAATTCACTTCTGTAAGAACAGGCCAAGGATGCGATCCCCATCATCCATGTTGGAGCAAAGTGCTTTTTCCATGAAAGAATTATCGCATGTCCAATTAAAGAGTTTCTCCCCCCTGCCCAAGAATGTGCAGGCCTGGTCTGGATCTCGGCATCGGCAAAAGTGTTGGTGCACGTAGGGCAGGTCGGGAAAGTTCAGGCATTCTTTGGCCTATAGCTGCTGATTGATAAAGGACTTGACAATATGTCTCAACCCTTCCAACCTTCTTCTATTCCACCTCATTTTCGCAGCAAAAGATGCGGAACTATGTGAACCAAACCCCACGCCTCAAGCATGATCCATGCCTGGACACCACGAATAGCAGCATCGCCCCATCGATAGAGCCACCAGCCACCCCACTCATCTATCCAATCCTTCTCAACAAACATATGCACAATAATGTTCTCGTGCACGCTCACAACCAGCGGCATGATGCTCATGGCTCTCAGCTGAGGAGAGGACCGTAAACCTTCGCAAGGCATCCGTCCGAAAACTGACAATATCCAGCAGCAAAAAGTCAGTAAGAGGCACTTTGCCTTTCCATGTGGGGCTTCCGAATGGAAGAACCTGTCCTCGGTCTAAGCCCGAGGTGACTGTTAATAGGCGCTCGTAGTACTGATTCTTCTCGGACGGGTCAAAGCCATCCGCAAAGGCTCGTTCTCGGATTGGGACTCCCCCCTCCTTCTTAGTAGAATGCAGATTCTCTGTCCCTATTCAATTTGAACATTGCCTGCATGACCCGAGCCATCATCACCCAAATCCCTATGCCAGACTGTCTTCTCTTTTCAGAACAGCTGTTGGGTGGAGTTGGATTCTCGGTATTTGCTATTGACCTAACTGGAGAAGAGATACTTAGGATACAAGTCAGAGCGATCTCTCCTCCTCCTCTAAGGCAGCAGGTGGTCTGCCTTTGCTTCCCCCAAGCTCTGCAGCTTCGAAAAGCAATGCAGCATCGAAAAGGTTCTTGACGAGAGGCGCGTCCTCACATACCAAGTCGGGCGCAGGCAAATGTGCAATGCAAAAGTTTTGGCACCAACCTATTCCAACTTTTTGCCCAGATCCTCCATGCCAAAATGCGTGTACCCGAAAACAGCACCAGCCTTCCTCATCTCCGAAGCAAAATCCTGCGACACTTGGCCGGTGAAATAGGAATCCGAATCCATCCATAACATCCACTGGAATCCCCGTAAAGCCGGCTGGTCAAGGACAAATGTCGCTTTAAATCTGCACATGAACCGGTATCCTGTGCGGATATCCGTTTCTATTATCCTGTCTGGACCTCGCGGCAGTTTTTCTGGCTGGCGGAAATGGTGGTCGATATTCGCAAACCACACTCGATTTTGAGAGGCGTTCCGAATCAGTGCAACTTCGTGCCGCGTAAGGTTCTGGTGAAATACCAATACTGGATGATCCCACTGCCAGTTGAATCGCTCCCACCAGTTCGGAAGTGCAAACTGCAGTTCATCAATCCGACCACCAGAAGCCATCGTGACTACAATGGTTGCATCGGTTGCATCGGTGATGCCGGCTCTGCAAGACTCTGCGCCGCCCGACAGATTGCAGCCCCTGCCTGACCGTCGAGAGCAAGTGTGTCTCATAAGAAGCTGCGTTATCAATCAATACCTCTAATCAAGCGATCTCTACGAAGCTCGCCAACACCCAAAGGAGTGAAAACCTTTGCAGCACAGGGCAGCAATAGACTCCGTTGTTGTTGTTGTTGTTGCCTCCTGAATCTTGCCCTGGACTGCACTTTAGCAAATGTGACAGTGTGTCGCAGTTGATGGCCTGAATCCAGGGTGCATTTCGTGCCACCCCGCCTGCCCTGCTCGCGCGCGGAAGGTCGGGCCATTCGCAAGCTGGACCACGCCAAGGTGGCAAGCATTCCTCAACCATGAAAAAATGGAAAATCAGGGAATAGCTTTTTGCACTTTTTTGCGAAAACCACTTGTGAAATCAAGGACACGATCAAATTGAATGTGGTTTCTGTGGTTGCCATTAAGTTGCGCAAAATCCTTCTTCGACGATGCAATGTCCCCGCGTGCCCATTGCGTGTTGTCCTCAAACGTTGCAAGCATATCCGGCTGGCTGCGACGGACGGCTCAATGCATGACTATGGCTGCTCATCTACAGATAAGAATGCTGCCAGAAATCGCGATACCTGACTCTTGATTGAATGGAGGATTGCATGATTCAGACAGCAGCAACAAACTTATATCGGGAGGAATCTCATTCCGTGCAGTACTAAGTGCATATCTCGCTCCCGTCATGTGAGGCAGGTGTGCCAGAGGCACGGACAAACATGGTGCTGCTGTCAGTGATCTAACAAGTGTTTCCCCCCTCAACTCCTGCAAACACACACAAGGAAGATCCGATGTTCACAAGTATTCGTAAAGTTCACAGCATGGAAGTCGTGTGCCCTACTCGGAAGAGTAAGCTGCGCCGGGCAACCCTTTTTTTGTAAGGCTCTCACGACCAGGGACGTGTGACCAAAAACCGGGGTCAAACGCCTGCCAGGGCCACCGAAAAGGGAAGCAAACAAAACAGCTCTGAGAGCAGCTGTATTGCAAGGGTATTAGACATATATAGAGCATACATTTTTAATACATGATCTAGGTGCCGCCTCTAACCGTAACTCTTTAGGCCTTGCTTGTAGGTTATTCACCATCTTTTTTGTGGGTGACGTATCATCTATTTTGTGGGTGAGCGGGTGACTCATCATCTACTTTGTGGATACTCGACACCTATC